AAATGGAAATTAAAGTAGTAACAAAAGTTTTCCCAGTTAGGTTAGATGAACCATCCTTGCATAAGCCTGGCAGAGTGGGACACATACAACCTCGCCTAAGTACAGTACTGGCTTCCCACCAAAACCGTAAAATATCCACCGAACGGAAAAATGGAGTTGATGAATAGTGACGTTTTAATGTGTCCAGCCAGCAGAATACAATGACAAGCGTCTCAGAAAGAGAGAGAGAGAGAAGGGAGAAATTTGTCACCGATGCTCAGAAGATAGCGAGATGTCCTCACACCACCAAGGCTGCCGCAGAAATGCTGAGAACCTTTACCATGTTACTGGTGTTGGAGTATTAAAGGCCACCAAAGCTTACGTCTTTTATGAGACCAACTCCTGTGAGTCAGAGGAAAAATATGCGCAAATCTGGGCGGTAAATATGAAGACATTAAAGTTTCCTCCGATGAGTGAAATTCAAATAAAAGGTTCCCATCGAGGCTAAGTAGATCCCTTTCCGTAAACCCCCGACAGAGTTAGACACGAAGTGGTAGAGGAAAAATTCATATGTATAACTTTAAGAATAGGCATCACACGGCTCACACAACCAGACAGGAATGAACCCAGTAACAGCCAGAGGAAAGGAGGGGCCAGGAGCAGAGACTCGACACCTGAAACCATAACTAAAGGAATACAAATTGATGATTTGTTTTTAGCTGTATCTCCTCCTGAGCGGCTAGTTTAATACACACCATCAGCTTATTCCGTGAACACAATACAATGTGTAGTTATTACTTTTAGAACATTAGTAATATTGGGTTGCGGTCTCTTCAAAAACAAATTTATTCATCTAGTCAACGCAAAATGTGGATAGTCTCAAGATTTCGGATATCTTATCATTAACAATGAAATGGTGTACCATATCCCGCAAGGTTTGTATGAATGTTTACCTGGAGAGAGTTCCGGGGGTCAACGCCCCCGCGGCCCGGTCTGTGACCAGGCCTCCTGGTGGATCAGAGCCTGATCAACCAGGCTGTTGCTGCTGGCTGCACGCAAACCAACGTACGAGCCACAGCCCGGCTGATCAGGAACTGACTTTAAGTGCTTGTCCAGTGCCAGCTTGAAGACTGCCAGGGGTCTGTTGGTAATCCCCCTTATGTGTGCTGGGAGGCAGTTGAACAGTCTCGGGCCCCTGACACTTATTGTATGGTCTCTAGGATATAATACTCCAGTGTATCTATCTTCGCACTTTACATTTTATCTCAGACATCTCCATACAAACAGTACTGCCAGAGATACTTATATCCTGGCCATAGTCTAGCAGTAACAACATCTTCGAACATACTAACCTTGCTACTTTCTCCATAAATATATTTAACTTGACATATTTCATGATGGGCAGTTATATTGTTCTACTTTCTACAAACTTATTTGCTAGATCTTTTCTAACAATATTTTTTTTTTATTTTTATTTAAGACACCAAAACTATGTTCGACATATTCTTGCTTAGCTGAGTTCTCAAGTTTTTCATGTTCCTGGAGGCCTATGTAAGAGGGAGGCCACAAAAACTTAACTATGATCCCTTTCTTAATTAATTGTGTATATCTGTGTCTACCTTCATACACAAATATGTTATTCAGATCACAGGCTGTTTATTGCAAGTAATAAGGAAATAGAAACAGTTCCCAGTCAGTGGGAGGTGATGCCATTGTAAATCAGATCCGGATGTATATAATTAAATGTATTTAAATTGAATAATGCTTCCACTTACTCAATTGTGAATTGCTTCCATATTTATTCTCTATCAAGGCTTTGTGGAAAATTGGGCTTCCATTCAAATAGTTGTTCAGTGCTGACATGTAAAAAACAAGCAGGTTTCATATGGGGCCTTAGAAAGAAGGTTGACGCCTCCTGCACAATTAACTAGATGGCTGATGATGAGCATCAGCGTCCAGAGAAATCGAGAAATTCGTCAAAAATGCTTTATTAAGCAAACACACTTCATCAGAGCTAGCACAGAAGTCCTCAGCATGTTCTTGTTTTGTTGTTGGTGTTATTAAGAGCCACCACAGCGTTACTGAACCCTATCTCCCGGCACTTGAGGAATGGATAATACATTACAGATAGGAAAAGAAGACAGATCAATTGTCTGTCATAATGAAATGTGTCAAGTTAAACATATCTATGGACAAAGTAACACAGTCAATAGATCACAGTATGTTGTTACTGCTAGACTAAGGCTAGGTTATATCTCCGGCAGTATGGTTTGTATGGAGATTAGATTAAATTTTTTATTTTGACAAATTACATGGTTGTACAGAGGAATATAATAGTTGGATGTACATGCCGAAAGCCCCTCTGTATGCTGAGCATTTCGGGCAAACTTAAAGATTAACTTAAGAATAGTTCTTATGGTCATTAAATGAGTTAGAGTGAGTCAGTTAGAGATGTCATACAATACAAAGTGAGTGGGCAGAGACAGAACTATACACTTAAGTATTATGTGTCCAAACATCTAACCTTTCAGAGACACTTCCATGCAAACCCTACATAATATAGCAAAACACTTCATTGTTAATGATAAAATATCTGAAATCTTAAAGCTGTATCCACATTTTGCATCGACTAAATGAACGAAGAATTTTTATAGAGGAGATTATAATTCATTTATGATGAATGTTTTTTAGTGGTAATAAGAAATCGATTTTTTGAGATTGTATTCCATATTGCATTGTGTAGATTAACTATATGAAGTATTTGTAAAGTATGAAATAGCTAATATTTCTTTCTAGTGGTATAACTATGCCTAGTGAGGTCTGGTAAAGCCCCACTATAACCTTAGTAATCCTGTTTTTTGCACTACTGCCTACACGGAAATTACTTCCTACGAAAACAAAAGATTTGGCAGGCAGTGCAACATCATCCCAGTGAAAAGCAGGGGTGCCATGGGTACACTAGGAGACACAGTAAGTGTCAAGGGCCAAAGACTGTTCAACTGCCCCCCACCACACATAAGGAAGGTTACCAATTAACCTTTGGCTGTCTTCAAGAGGGAGCTGGACAGACACCTAAAATCAATATCTGACCAGCCGAGCTGTGGTTCATACGTCGGTTTACATGCGGCCAACAGTAACAGCCTGTTTGATCATGTCCTGATCCACTATGAGGTCTGGTCTCCCCGAAGCTTTGAGGAAGACATATAAGAGACAGAATCTCACAATGGAGTTCCAACGGCGGGTCATTATCTGACTAAGACCCGCGTCAGGAAACACTTGTCCTGTTTCCTGACAAACCTTACCTACCTACCTATCTATGCAGGAGACCGAGATCATAACTAGCCCAAGTGAAGGTCAAGACAAGGGACTCAAGCCAGTCAGAGAAGGTACTCGCCGAGATGTGTTCGAGCAAAATGGAATAAGTAAGTTTATTTAGGCACAGGTACACATAAATATAATTATGATAGTGTAAAGTACCTAAGATAACCCCCCAAAAAAGTCTAAGTGACGTAGTTCCATTGGGGTCCTTGACACTTTTATTATTCTTGTTTTTTTTTTTGTTCTTAGTAGTATTAAGTAGCACTAACAACGTGAGGCACTGAGCCTTACTTATGCTTACTTAAGATAAGGTTTCGTTCGGATTTTTAACCCCGGAGGGTTAGCCACCCAGGATAACCCAAGAAAGTCAGTGCGTCATCGAGGACTGTCTAACTTATTTCCATTGGGGTCCTTAATCTTGTCCCCCAGGATGCGACCCACACCAGTCGACTAACACCCAGGTACCTATTTGCTGCTAGGTGAACAGGACAATAGGTGTAAGGAAACGTGTCGGAATTTCCACCCGCCGGGAATCGAACCCGGGCCCTCCGTGTGTGAAGCGGGAGTTTTAGCCACCAGACCACCGGGAGGAAACACTGCACAAATCAAGAAAGAACAACTATGCACATTAAACACCCATATCGGTATATACTGGGCAAGAGGATCAAAGAACCCTAGCGAAGATAGGTCAGAAACAGCTAATATATTGGGTTATTCTGGGTTACTAACCCAGCAGGAGCCAGTTCAAGAAGAGTGCCAGAAGGTAACTAATGAATGTAGCTACAGCAAGGAAGAAAGTACTTTCTGTATAAAACATACATGTATGTTCAACTATCTTGAGTGCTGAAGTGGTCTACTTGTACGATACAAAGTTCAGTACACAAGAATTATACCTACCTGTATAATAAAGCATTTTATATGCACACACATGCATTCTTGTATGGTTCATTGGAACAAAAATTAATGTAATTTTGATGCTACTGGAACTAAAGATTTTTCACCATATTCATTGTATGATGTGATTGCCTGGAATTTTAGTCCTACATTTCCCACTTGAATGAGGAAACTCGTTCACCTTAATTCATTTGAGAATGATCTAGCCAGATATGTGCAGACATGACAGTTCAGGTTACTTTTTATATTCTATATACTGAATTTCTGTAGGGGAAGGAAGGCGGGGTAGGGGTCGCCCTCGAAAAGGTTGGAAGGAAGGGGTAAGGGAGGTTTTGTGGGCGAGGGGCTTGGAGTTCCAGAAGGCATGCATGAGCATGTTCGATGGGAGTGAATGGAGACGAATGGTATTTGGGACCTGATGATATGTTGGAGTGTGAGCCAGGGTAATATTTAGTGAAGGGATTCAGGGAAACCGGTTATTTTTACATAGTCGGACTTGAGTCCTGGAAATGGGAAGTACAATGCCTGCACTCTAAAAGAGGGGTTTCGGGATATTAGCAGTTTGGAGGGATATGTTGTGTATCTTTATACGTATATGCTTCTAAACTGTTGTTCTGAGCACCTCTGCAAAAACAGTGATTATGTGTGAGTGAGGTGAAAGTGTTGAATGATGAAAGTATTTTCTTTTTGGGGATTTTCTTCTTTTTGGGTCACCCTGCCTCGGTGGGAAACGGCCGACTTGTTAAAAAAAAAAAATGTTGAATTACTGTTGATTCTTTGTAAGATGTAGTGATAGTTTTTCCTTGCAGTGCATCGCAATCTTCGTGCCTGTGCCATTGTTGCGTGCCTTTCAACGTGTACAACAGCGCCTGGTGCGTGAGCTGGAAAAGAAATTTAGTGGCAAACATGTTGTAGTGATTGCACAGCGCCGCATCATACCTAAGCCATCTCGTAAGCTGAAGAACCCACCCAAGCAAAGGAGACCCAGGAGGTATGTATCTTTGATATTGTTTTCTAGAACATTAGAGATTTTGGCCTTGTAAATACGTACTAACATCAAGGGGCATTTAATATACAGTAATTAAAATTTAGGGAATGCTTGTATGCAAAATAAAATTTTCATCATAGGTATAGTAAATGTTTGTATGGCTGGGATTTTTTGTAGGGGTGAGGCTGTTGCAGTCCATGAAGTTCTGCAAAAGTAGAAACCTCGAACAATAGAAAATTGTCTGCATTAAACATTTTCAGATTTGGGTTCATTTATTTGACATGTTATCTGTGATATATTACTTTTACCTTTTTATAAATGTTAATACATATTCAGTTGTAGCTTTATCATGTTAGAAATATCAGGGTCACTTTACATTTGTAAGTGCACATGTGGGAGAAAATCAGCTGTTTCCTGTTTCGTAGCCAGTGCATGCAGTATGTATATATAGTCAGGCCCAGCTTTACAGTGCTTTGATTTATGGTGTTTTGCTAATGCAGCGGTTTTCAGTTATGCCTGTTCTTCGTATATTCAGACTTACAATAAATACGTTCACCATTTACTATAAGCTAAAATATTTTAAGGTAAGTAATGTGTGTACTATATATGTATTTTTTTAGGCTTAACTATTGCTCTCTTAAAATGTGTGTCAACATGTTATATGCATTTGAAAGTTAAAAAAAAAAAAAAAAGAGGAGGGTGCTGTTTCACTTTACGGCAGTTTTTGCTTCACATCAGTAGTCTGGAACCTTACCTGCTGTATAAGCAGGACTCTTCTGTATGTCATTTCCTCCTTTCCCTACTGTATGGTATATTAGTGTTTTATAAATTTTTGACTGATGCTGACCTTGGCTATGAATGGGTGTAACAATTGCAGATCACCTTTCCATGAAAGGGGTAGCATAGATGGGTGTGCACGTAAAAATGAGTCAAATATCATTGACTACAATGCTGAATACTGTATGCTGTACAATGATGCACATACTGTATAGGTCATATACTATGACCCATATATATACTATTAAGACTATGTTATGCAGATAGTATTTTAAAGCTTATTTAAAAGTGTGAAATCTAATAAAAACTGTCATATACTGAAATTGAATTGATGTAATGATAGTGTTCTATATTACAAGATAATACAACTAAAATAGGTACTGTAAACTCCTGTATAACAGACTATTTGGAGAAGTGGGTGGCTATAATACTATTTGTAGTGCATAGATAGTTTTGCCGTGATTGTGACAATGGATAATTCTGTAACCAACAGGCTGTCTAGTTTTTAAATCAGTTAGCCCAGTGGATTTCATTTCATATTTCCTAAGTCTGTTATATGGAAGGTTTACTGTAGGTTAGCAGGATTGAAAGTCCTCATATCAAGTGTTATGATGATATCTTCAAGACATGATGCACCTTGACTGGCTCTATACTCTAAGAAGAACTGAAATGTAATTGCTAAAAAATTTCTAACCATTCAAACTGCCATGCATTAAGGGGAATTTATATTACAGCCGTACCTTGACTTGCGTACATGATGCAATTCTGGAGGATCTTGTTTTTCCTGCTGAGATTGTGGGCAAGAGGATCAGAGTTAGACTTGATGGCTCTCGGCTCATGAAGGTTCACCTTGACAAGGCACAGCAAACAAACATTGAACATAAGGTATTTTGATACAGAGGCTAGAAATTTTGCATAGCATTAATTTTTTTGTGCTTCGATTTATTTCAGATGGTAATTTGCAATGCCATTATTTACCAATTCAAATAATTTGCAAAGTTTTATTTCACAGCAGAATTGCTGTGTAAGTTTTTAATGAAATGTTTAGTAATTGATGCATGCTTTCTCAATTAAACAGAAGCAGTGATTCATTCAAATTCATTTCAGCTTTATTGATGTTTCTTAATAGATTCTAAAGCAGTGAAGCAAATATTTTGTAGGTAAGACTCGCATGCTCTGATAAAGATATATATTAAGGAAACGCTTTTGCCATAAGCGGCTTCTTGTGGCAAAACTGAAGCCACATGATCTGAAGTGTCCACAAGGTCCAAGAATGTTCAAGAATTTTTTTTATGAAATGGTAGAGAATCTTCCTAAAGGTAATGAAACCAAAAGTATGAAATTTGGTGGAAAACTTAGGAATTATGCTCTAGCAAAGTTAGCAGTCTGAGTGATATTTACGTATCTGATTTTGCCCACTTTGAGCCCTATTTTCGACCAGTTCCATTGTTCCAGTCTGTCCCTTCAAAGGAGGTTCCTTGACGCTGGTGAGGGGTCTTGATCTAGGGAATTGGTTCTGTGCTCCAGTTCCCTGAATAGAATCCAAATGCCTTCCATCCCTCTACAGGCACTGTATGATCCCTATGGGTTTAGCTCTCCCCATGATAATCCAATCGACCAAACTCGTAGGTATTTAGCTAGTATTCCTTCTATTGATTGAGTACAAGAAACTGCCCATTGACCTATTTCAGTTACCAAATAGTGATTAGAAATTGGTAATTTGGCCAATTTCACACACAATTCAAAAATTAGCAATTTAAAAATAGGTTCTAGAATAAACAATGTAAACATTCCTGGCACTAAAAAAAACAATCCTCTGTTCATGAGTTATGTCTCCAGGCATCTCCCATATTACACTTGCTTTACATTTTGAAGTTTTTATTTACACAAAAAAATGAATGTTAATGCTATGCAGACTACTGCATTATTGTAATAAATAATTGTATAAATGTCAGTGCACTCATGAACACAAGACCAACCAGTTGGACACATTGGATGAGGGATGTAACTTGTGTCCTCTGGAATATTGGCAAAAATCAAACATTTCTGCTGCTTTGAGCTCAATTTCAAGCTATTTTCAGTCCTGAATTGAGACTTACGTATGCAGTATATGAGAATCTTTATTGAAGAAACGTTTTCACACAGTGGCTTCATCAGTCTTATACAAAACAGGAAGGTATAAGGAGAGGAGGAGTTTGAGGTAATTAGTCCCTCAGCCTGGAGTTGATGTGTTCAGTCCATCAATTTTGTACAAAGTACAGCACAGGGCTGTAGCAGTGGCTTATGTACTGTAGTCAGGTGAGGCGAAGCAGGAGGTGGCGGGGTCATGGTGGAACCATTCACTAGTCTAAGTAGGTCTTTGTCCTAAGATTGGACAAGTTTTGAAGAATTCTTTGTATCAAGATCCGATGATGATGCAGTGTCTGACATGTGATGAATGGTTTCAAAACCATTCATCACATCTGTCAGACTGAATCATCGTGGGAGTGCTGGCAAGCATTATTTAGATGTAAGAGAAAAGTAACTCTGGTCTGTTATAGTAGTGCCATATATAGCGGTCGGAGACCATGTACCGCTATTATCTTTGCTAATAATTATTAGCAGGTAATGATAATTTTTAGCTAGTATAATATTCTTTTGTTAGAGACTTTCACTACATGTTCTTCCATTGACACGAGTTTCTGGGACCCTCCAAAATTTACTTGGGAATTGAAATGAGCATTTTATAAAGTACAGTATTCATGTGTATGGAGCTGTAACTGCCTGATCACTCATTGGTTAATGGTTTTACATGTACAGATTGTAGTTTTTCAAGGACATCTTCACAATTAACAGTTTTAAATATCTTGATCACTATAAAAACTTCGTAGATAAAGTATAAATTACAAATCTTTCCCTACAAACATTAGATATATTGCAGTATGAACTACAGTGGACCCCCGGTTAACGATACTTTTTCACTCCAGAAGTATGTTCAGGTGCCAGTACTGACCGAATTTGTTCCCATAAGAAATATTGTGAAGTAGATTAGTCCATTTCAGACCCCCAAACATACACGTACAAATGCACTTACATAATTGGTCGCATTCGGAGGTAATCGTTATGCGGGGGTCCACTGTACTACTACTTAATCCATCATAACAGTTGCTATTCCTTCTCTTCCAGAAGTTTGTGCTTAGTTTTAAACTCCTTTATTTTCAGTATTTATTACAGTAGATCTGTAAATTGTTTGTACACTATTGTATTAGGTATATACACCTACCATCCGACTTACGACCTGCTCGACTTACGACCACTCGACTTACGACCGTTTTTTTTTTTTTTTTTTTTTTTTTTTTTGCCAAATTTCTGGGAAATAAACAACTATTTGTGTTGTACACAGTGTTTATCCTAAACCTTACAGTATAAAATAGTGCTAACAGCATAAAAAGTAAAGTAAAACATGAAATACCTAAATGAAACAATAAAAGTCATTACAAAAATGTGATGTTGATATTCAGTAGTACGTCCATTTCAACTTACGACCTGTTTCTCGGAACCAAACTCGGTCGTAAGTCGGATGGTAGGTGCATTACAGTACTTCAGTGTACTTTTTACTATTGTTTATCATTCAAATATAATTAACATTCCATATAGTCTCCCACCAAGGTAAGGTGACTCAATAGGAGAAACAGTTGCCACCACTCGCTCAGTCATTCTTGCCAGAGGAGTGCTGATGTCACAGCTCAGTTGTCCCTCCAAGCTGCAACATCCCCATTCCTTCTCCAGGACTCGAGTCTGGCCAACCGTTTCCCTAAATCCCTTCATAAATGATACCTTGCTCACAGTCCAACAATGTCAAGTCATAAAACCCATTTGCCACCATTCCTGTCTAACACTTGCACATGCCTGTTGGATGTCCGAGTTCCTCACACACAACCTTAACAGCCTACCTCCAGACGTTCCTAGGACAATCCTTCCAACTCTTTGTAATATGCACGTCACATTTCCCCATTTTTTTTATTTATTGATAAATCACTTTCCACTGGCTCCTCCACACTTCAGCTACCTTCTTTTCCTTATCTATTTATATTATCACCACTCCTCCATCTGCAGTTTCTCTTCAAAATCTGCTATAAGCCTTGCCAGTGTCAAAGAGCAGCTCCATAATTCTCAGTATATATCTGATTCAAACACTTGTGCCTCCTCTTAAGCTTGAACTCGGGCATTTATTTATTTTATTGCTCCATGTATAAATGCATGCATCATACAACTTTGTGACAGCATACCCTTTTACTTAATATATGCAGTATATATTCAGTATTAGAATGTGGGGCAGAAGTTTGTGGTTATAGGAGGGTGGGTGCAGGAGGAAAGAGGAGTGATTGGTGGAATGATGAAGTAAAGGGTGTGATAAAAGAGAAAAAGGTAGCTTATGAGAGGTATTTACAAAGCAGAAGTGTTGTAAGAAGAGTAGAGTATATGGAGAGTAAAAGAAAGGTGAAGAGACTGGTGAGAGATTGGAAAAAGAAGAGCAGATGATAGTGGGAGAGGTACTGTTAAGGAATTTTAATGAAAATAAGAAAAAAATTTTGGAGTGAGTTAAACAAGTTAAGAAAGCCTAGGGAACAAATGGATTTATCAGTTAAAAACAAAGTAAGGGAGTTAGTAGATGGGGAGATGGAGGTTTTGGGTAGATGGCGAGAATATTTTGAGGAACTTTTAAATGTCGACGAAGAAAGGGAGGCTGTAATTTCATGCACTGAAAGGGAGGAATATCATCTTTTAGGAGTGAAGAAGAGCAGGATGTGAGTGTGGGGGAGGTGCGTGAGGCATTACATAGAATGAAAGGGGGTAAAGCAGCTGGAACTGACGGGATCATGACAAAAATGTTAAAAGCAGGGGGGGACAGTGTTGGAGTGGTTGGTATTTTTGTTTAATAAATGTATGAAAGAGGGGAAGGTACCTAGGGATTGACAGAGAGGGTGTATAGTCCCTTTATATGAAGGGAAGGGGGACAAAAGAGATTGTAAAAATTATAGAGGAATAAGTTTACCGAGTATACCAGGAAAAGTGTACGGTAGGATTATTATTGAAAGAATTCGAGGTAAGAGAATGTAGAATTGCGGATGAGCAAGGAGGTTTTAGTGTGGGTAGGGGATGTGTAGATCAAGTGTTTACATTGAAGCATATATGTGAGCAGTATTTAGATAGAGGTAGGGAAGTTTTTATTGCATTTATGGATTTAGAAAAGGCATATGATTGTGGATAGGGGAGCAATGTGGCAGATGTTGCAAGTACACCTACCATCCGACTTAAGACCTGCTCGTCTTATGACCACTCGACTTAAGACCGTGTTTTTTATGCCAAATTTCTGGGAAATAAACAACTATTTGTGTTGTACACAGTGTTTATCCTAAACCTTACAGTATAAAATACAGTACTAACAGCATAAAAAGTAAAGTAAAACATGAAATACCTAAATAAAACAATAAAATAGTCATTACAAAAATGCGATGTTGATATTCAGTAGTAAAGTTCGACTTACGTCCATTTCGACTTACGACCGGTTTCTCGGAACCAAACTCGGTCGTAAGTCGGATGGTAGGTGTATAAGGAATAGGTGGTAAGTTATTAAATGCTGTAAAGAGGTTTTATGAGGATAGTGGGGCTCAGGTTAGGGTGTGTAGAAGAGAGGGAGACTACTTCCTGGTAAAAGTAGGTCTTAGACAGGGATGTGTAATGTCACCATGATTGTTTAATATATTTATAGATGATGTAAAAGAAGTAAATGCTAGGGTGTTCGGGAGAGGGGTGGGATTAAATTATGGGGAATTAAATACAAAATGGGAAGTGAGTTACTTTCTGCTGATGATACTGTGCTTATGGGAGATTCTAAAGAAAAATTGCAAAGGTTAGTGGACGAATTTGGGAATGTGTGTAAAGGTAGAAAGTTGAAAGTGAATGTAGAAAAGAGTAAGGTGATGAGGGTATCAAATGTTTTAGATAAAGAAAAATTGGATATCAAATTGGGGAGGAGGAGTATGGAAGAAGTAAATGTTTTCAGATATTTGGGAGTTGATGTGTCAGCGGATGGATTTATGAAGGATGAGGTTAATCATAGAATTGACGAAGAAAAAAAGGTGAGTGGTGCATTGAGGTATATGTGGAGACAAAAAATGTTGTCTATGGAGGCAAAGAAGGGAATGTATGAAAGTATAGTAGTACCAACACACTTGTATGGGTGTGAAGCTTGGGTTGTAAATGCTGCAGCGAGGAGGCTGTTGGAGGCAGTGGAGATGTCCTGTCTAGGAGCAATGTGTGGTGTAAATATTTTGCAGAAAATTCGGAGTGTGGAAATTAGGAGAAGGTGCGGAGTTAATAAAAGTATTAGTCATGGCTGAAGAGGGTTTGTTGAGGTGGTTTGGTCATTTAGAGAGAACGGATCAAAGTAGAATGACATGGAGAGCGTATAAATCTGTAGGGGAAGGAAGGCGGGTAGGGGTCGTCCTCGAAAAGGTTGGAGGGAGGGGGTAAAGGAGGTGGTGTGGGCGAGGGGTTTGCACTTCCAGCAAGCGTACGTGAGCGTGTTAGATAGGAGTGAATGGAGACAAATGGTATTTGGGACCTGACGATCTGTTGGAGTGTGAGCAGGGTAATATTTAGTGAAGGGATTCAGGGAAACCGGTTATTTTTATATAGCTGGACTTGAGTCCTGGAAATGGGAAATACAATGCCTAAACTCTAAAGAAGGGGTTTGGGATATTGGCAGTTTGGGGAGATATATTGTATATTTTTATACGTATATACTTCTAAACTGTTGTATTCTGGGCACCTCTGCAAAAAGTGATTGTGTGAGTGAGGTGAAAGTGTTGAATGATGATGAAAGTATTTTCTTTTTTGGGGATTTTCTTTCTCTTTGGGTCACCCTGCCTCAGTGGGAGATGGCTGACTTGTTTTTTTTTTTTTTTTTTTACCTACCCTAACTTGAGCTTCACTATCTATTACATTTTTTCAACACTTACCACATTGCTCTCCTGTTCACCTTGTCTTATATTTACAAATAACCTGCACATAGAAAACACTAATGATAATGTTTCATTCCAACCAGTGCCTTGGTCACTTTCTTTTTACTCGCCTCTAGTTCCCTTTTAACAGATTTTATTCTTCCCTGCCCATGCATAAAATGTCTCCCCTCCTTTCCATCATTCATGTTTAATCTCAAAATATTTCTTTCCTATACCTCCACCTCACCATATAACCTTTAACTACTCAATTACAAAGTCTATTTGTTTCCCATGCTTTCTGTATTTATTTCTTAGTCTCCAATGTTATTTTCAGCAAAATTTCGTACACCCATTCACACATTTGCTATCTTCCTTTTATCATCCCTGTTTACTTTACTCCCGTTTACTTTAAACTGCTTCTTTCTTAAACTTGTTGAATTTATCAGTCTCTTCTTTGCCCTCTTCAAGCTTTTAACATTTTTCCCCTTTCCATATATTTTTCCATTATAAATACCTTTCTTACGTTATCTTGCACCCAATTTTTTTATGTAATCACTCCTCTTGCACCCACCCCATATAATCACGCATTTCTGCTGCACACAGCCGAGCACTCTTTAATCAACATTGTTCCTAATCTGTTTCCTCTCTCTCTTGCAAGTCTAACTTACATTTCTCCCAGTAGTTATTCATCCTCAGTAATTCCCTATTTTTATGACTTAAGAAATCGTAATGACACGATTGCAAATAAACCATACCCCCGGCCGGGATTGAACCCGCGGTCATAGTCTCAAAACTCCAGCCCGTCGCACTAACCACTAGACCAGCTAGCCACAATAAGATTCATCCAACTAGGTATATTTCTACACCATAGGAAGGTTAGCACAGGCACCTCTGTGACCACAAATGCAAGTTTTTACAGACGAATCTCCAGCTAGCGTGGCCGTGACGAACTCTAGCTCAAGTCCCTTCACTGCGGGTTCAATCCCGGCCGGGGGTATGGTTTATTTGCAATCGTGTCATTACGATTTCTTAAGTCATGTTGACGGCAGTGAAGGGACTTGAGCTAGAGTTCGTCACGGCCACGCTAGCTGGAGATTCGTCTGTAAAAACTTGCATTTGTGGTCACAGAGGTGCCTGTGCTAACCTTCCTATGGTGTAGAAATATACCTAGTTGGATGAATCTTATTGTGGCTAGCTGGTCTAGTGGTTAGCGCGACGGGCTGGAGTTTTGAGACTCTATGACCGCGGGTTCAATCCCGGCCGGGGGTATGGCCCTATTTTTATCCATGTTCACATTTCTTTTTACCCACTGAGGACTTAACACTTTGTACTCCACCTTCCTCTTACGCTGGCTACTTATTAATATGGTCTTGCATATTAATTGCTTTTATAAAAAGTACTCCAGGAAGCCCACTCTTTGAGTTTTTATCGACCATTTCATAATTAGCGCACTAATCATTCCTCATGTGTTTTGCATATTCCGCCACAGAACTATCTGAAGTTTCTAAAACAAAATGGCATTGTTGTAATAATAGTAAATCAGTTTCATATATTATCAGTCTGCATTTTTTCTTGGTAGTTTTAAAGTATGTAACATTATGAATTATTGAATGATGATCATTTGAACATGATTTCTGATTGTATTCTCTAAGAAGAACTGAAATAATATCATGCAACATGATAAAAGAGAACTAATTTGTTTGAATAATAACCAATGAAACTGTTCCAGGTTGAAACATTTGCTGCTGTCTACAAGAAGCTAACTGGAAAGGAGTGAACTTTTTTTGTAAAACCCTATTTGTAACTTAAAATGAATTGGGGGAAAAAAAAAAAAGTTTTCCCTTTTTTCCCACTTTTTGTTTTAAAAAAAGAAATGATGGGCTACTCAAATGATGTGGCACAAAGAAAGCTCCATTTTGGCATAGATGGTGGGTATATTTTGACTTATGAATTTGCTGACATGGGCACATGCTAAAAGAATTTAATTTAATATGAAAAAAAGCCTTTGTTTTTCATGCTCTAACTGATTCCTCCAAGGGAGGTTCCTTGATGTCAATGAGGGGCTCTTGATTCAAGAATTTGGATGTTTCCAGAAATTTATTAAATTTTCTTCCCTTCTCCAGGCCCGTATAACACCTTTGGAATTGGTAAAAGGCCCCACTTGATTCTTCCCTTTCCCCCCAGGCATTTAAATGCCCCCCTGTGAGTTTAGATCTCCCTCATAAATGGCATAATCCCCCATGAATGTCATAGTGATTGATTTCGCAATGAAACTAACCACAAAGAGGGGCCATTTTTTTAATGAAAACATTGTAATGCTATGAAAGGTATCCCCTCAAGGGGGTTTCCCTTTAAGCTGGTGGGGGCTCTTGATCTGGGGAATTGGATTTGGCTCCAGTTCTCTGAATTGGTGAATGCTTTCCATCTTTCCATAGGTGCGTATAATCCTGTGGTTTAGCACCCCCATAATATGGAATTTTAAAAAATCATATCCAGGGGGGTTTTGATTAAAAGTGAGGGGCACTATGAGACCCCTAGGGTTTTTGTTTTTAAATTTCTCATAATCCTGATTTCAGGAATTTAATTTTCCTGTTAGATCAAACCTATTGTCCCCCTTCCCCCCCTTTAAAAATAACTGCGGGGTTGTGTGACTTGCGGGGTTTAGTATATTTTTGATTATAATGCACAACTAGCGTTTGAACTTGCTCCCAAAAATATGATTATAATAAACACTATATAATGAAACGTTTTAGCTTTAGTAAATTAACAAAAAAAAGACTACTGTGATGACTGGAGAAGCACCGAGAGAGTTGTAGGTGGCATCCAGAAAAAATGTGTTCGCAGATTTTGAAAAGGCTTTTGAGAAATGCGACATGGAAGATACCCAAAACAAAATGAGGGAGGGCTTTAAGGGGAAGGTGGTAGGGGGTTTTCGGGTTCTTAACACAACACAAAAGTAGTAAACAGGCAAGGTCCAGCTCAGTGGGGTCAAAAGCTCAGTGCCCCAAGGCACTTCCTGGTCCTCTGTTGTTTCTCATTCTCATAGCAGCATAAAAACATCCAGCAACTTTTGCATCATTTGCGGAACAAAAGCATGAAAGCCACTAGGGCAGAGGACTTTGAAAAAGTACGGAAGCATAACAGGGGTTTTTCAGTGGGCAGGGGGAAAACAGATGTTCAAGGGTGAAAGTCCAGTGCTTAGGTATGGAAGGGAATAAAAAACTCGAAAGGAACACTTATAAAAACTCGGGGTCGAAAAATGAACAAAAGGAATAACAAAAACCCTGGAATAATTGTCAGCGATTTTTAAAAAGACCTAAACAAAAAAGATTACGACACCCGGGGAAGATGACGGGGTGGGTTTTGGAACTTTCAAAAATAGGGAAATGCCGAGGGTGTTTTAAAATCGCTAAGCTCCCCATTAAAACATTGTTCAGTGCTGACGGCCCCGTTAAAAGGGGGAAAAATTTTAAGCGGGAACACGTACAGAGATCTTTTATGGGTTTTACGTTGACCAAAAAAAATTCCTAAATTCTGGGAGTGCTTTCAAGTTTTGAACATGTATATTGGGTGGAGGGGAGAGGAAGGGTAGATATCCCTGGAAAGTCTCGGGGGCTGGGTCCCAAAATTTGCACAGCCAAAAACAACTGGCGTAGATAGGGGAGGAAGTGAAAAAATAAAACGGTGAGGAACAGGGGGGTTGGGGGGACAAAAGGGAACACTGTATCAAACCTGGGGCCCCAACTTAAAAATCTTCCCCAAAGATATCAAACACAGCGGGAACAAGTGTGAAGCCTTCAAGGGAAAACTGGACAACTATCTTCCCGGGTGCCGTTGGGCCCAAACTATGAGGGATATGCCTCTTAAAGGGGGGGGCCCCTTGGGCGTGGTGAAGGGGCTCCTGGTCTGGGAATTAGCCCTGTCGGCTTTTTCCCTCGACCGAAACCAAATCACCCCCCATTCCCCCTCCCTACCCCACCCCTCCCCAACCTCCCCTTTTTCCATTCCTCCCCCTCCCCCCCCTTTTCCCTTTCCCCTTTTTTTGGCCTTTGGGATTTTCCCACAGGGCGCTATTTCCCTGGTGGGGAAAAGGGAAACCCCGGGGTCCACCCCTTCCCCTTTGAGGTTTTTGGGGTGGCGTGTTTGCCGTGGAATCTGGATTGCCGGGGGATGCCCCGATCCCCCTCCGGTACCCCCGGAGTACCCTTTGGGTGTTTTTGGGGGGGTGTATCTCTGGAAGCCACCTTTCGGATTCCGGGGGTGATGGCCGAGGGGTATGCTTTTTTGGCGGATACCCGGCCGCCCTTTCTTTTGTCCCCCGGGGTTTCCTCAGCAGTGTGAGGTTGTTTCCCCCGGTTTGCTGGTTTTTGGCATAAAGGGTGGGGTATGGCACGGGTTCCATGCTGTTTTCTGCGCTACCGCGGGTGAGGCCTCTTGGGCGAGGAGGGAGTTTTCCCCCGGCCCTTTCATTCCTCGGGAAACTTTTCCTCCCCCCCCCCCCCCCTTTTTTTATTTTTTTTTTATTTTTATTTTCTTTTCTTCTTTTTTTTTTTTTTTAAAAAACAAAAAGCAAAGGAGAACCCCCCCCCTGGCGCCCTGTCCATAAACCCCCACTACCCCGGGGCCCCTTTTGTTTTCGCACCCATTCGACCCTCCCTTTTTTGGCCCATTTTTGGACACCCCTGATGCCCCTGTACCTCTTGTGGGCGTTTCCCCCCCCTTCAGGTCCCGGGGGCTTCGATGACCCTTCGATTTGTCGAATAACCGCCCCTCCTTGGGGACTATGCTTCCGGCTTCTCCCTCTACGGTCGGCAATTTTCAAATTTTCGCCCCCCCATTTCACCCCGGGACCAACCCCCGGCCCTACTCCTAAACGCCAACGTCAACTTTGTGAGCTTTTCGTTTACCTTCCCATTCTATCGGAAAAGCCCGACACGTCAAGCACCCCCTCCCCACGCTCGGTTTTCGCCCACACAATGGACTAAATTTTTCTTTAAGCCGACTTCTTCTGCCTACCTTTCTGACCAAGTATTGGAAAGCGCTCCTGCGTCATGTTTGGAATATTTCATTTCAGCCTCAAGGCGGTATGGCACGTCACGTCCAGTGCTATCAAGCTATGATTTTCTCTCCTTGAATACGAACTACCCCTATCACTATTAAAAAAACTCTTTCTTCAATTCTTGTAGTGGTAGTCATTCGCCCCATACCGCCCAAAAAATTTCCAGTCATGGGGCAATGACATTTTGAACAGCGGGAAACCCCAGGATCTCCCAATCCCAAAGTAGAATTTTGGGTCCTTCCTCCCCCCGGGGGGGAGACTTTACCCTTGCAATGTGGCTCTTTTAATTTTGACAGCCGAGAATCCCATCCTCTGAAATGTCGCGGGACATCGGTTAAAAGTTCGAAAGGTGTCCTACCACCGAAAAATGTAAAAAATTGTGGCTTTTTTGGTCCCCCCGTGAAATTTTGCAGATCTATGGCCGAATGCCCGTCTGTGGTCCCGACCCATTTTTAATACATCTTGCGTCAACCTCCATCTTCCCTTAAATTTGTAATGAACCCCACCCTTCGTACTCCCGCCGTTGCCAGGTCATTTAAAATGAACGTAAAACCCCGTTGCCTCAAAGAGGAAGGTTCCCTTTTCAGGCAGTTATCATCCCGCTCCCCCCAAAGGGGGGCTACCCCTGTTTCTTTTCTCGGTTTAAACTCCCCCCACTTTGGGGTCCCATCTTCTCAGCCCCCTCTGTTGTTACCCCTTCCCCTAGCCTATGGCATCTAATCCCTTTTTTGTCCTTGGCTTTGTTCCCCCACTAAACCGTCTTTCTCACATCTTTTGCGTCCTTCCCACAAGCCCCCGTATCAAAGGGGCCCGTTTTGAACCTAATACCAATCGCCCCATCAGAAGTCCAAAAAAATCCAATTGCTCAAATTTCTTTGCCCTTTCCCCTTCCCTTCTTCCACACCAAAAAATTTACCTTTTTCCGTCTCTGTACCCAGGTTTTTTTCCCCCCTCTCTGGGTTATTACAAGTGTGGAGATTCACCCTCCTCCCGTCTATGCCCTTTCCACCCCTCCCCCCCCCAAGTTTCTCCCTCTTCTGCCACCCCCCCAGGTTTCTGCCCTCTTCTGTCCCCCCCCACACTTCATTCCAGTCCCTTACACTCTTCCCCCCCCTTTATTTGGTACAGTCCCTTACTGTCCCAATCTTTACTCACCCTCCCCCTCCTACTCCAAAAGGTTCCCTACATCTTTGAATTTGAAAAAAAATTGAAAAAACCATTTCAGACTAATTGCAGAGGGCTAAAAACCTTCATTGGGCACTGTCACTTTTGTTCCCTTTCTTTTCCCCTTCCTCCTCTTCACAACCCCTTCTTCGCAAACTCCGTTCCTTCGCTACTTGAACGCTTCCAATGCCACCACCGTTGTTTTTTCTAACCCTCTAGTCCGTAGGTGCCTTTACCTACAGATTCCGGTATTTTCTTCATCCCAATCATGGCCCATTTACAGTGGGTATCCGCGGGCCCTTTGGGGGAATCGGGGGGAGCTTCAAAGTTGCTTTCCAAGGGTTTTTCCCCCGTTGGTGCTTGTTTTCAAAACCCAAAAATTACACTCGGCTGTTTTTTCCACCCATCTCAGGCTATAATTTATTGTATTCTTTTGGGTCCTTTCTCAGATGGGGGCCTTAAAGAAAAATGCCCTTCTTCTACGCAAAGAATTTTCCCATGTCAAACTATTTTCCCCTACCTCCGCATTAACGCAGCCCGTATCCACTTGAATAAGTGGT